GAGTCTTTTCACGTGATTTTGGGCACATTTATTAACCTCAGTGTCTATTCCTTTACCTGTAAAACAGGTATGTAGAGCTCATGAAAAGATAGATAGATGATTCCATGAAATGACTGAGATTCATCATTTTTCAAATGTATCTCAGTCAAATGCACTCTCCTTTAGAGGAACAAACTTGCTTATAAGGTGTTTGAAATTTTCAGGGAGTATTATAAGACATGCTGACAGTTTAATAGCCTTGCAAAATTTGAAGTAATATTTTGCTCAAAAAGAGCACTTATACCAGAAAAAACATAAAAGTATCCCTTCAAAGCATTAACTTACCCATTTTGCAGATACCTTGTAGTTTTGCTTATTTTATTAAAATAAATAAAAATAGTTTTGCTTATTTAGTTAAAAAATAGAAAAGATCTGAAATACATTTTTAAAAAGCAAACTGATATTTTTCCAAGAAAGTTGAAATTGTGCTTAATTTCAAATGACCTTTTACAACAATTAATTTGCCTATACTATTGTAGCCAAAAGGCTAAACTAAGAATATAATTATAGGCATAATTAACATCCACGTTTTAATAGTTTCTCTATGGGGCCAGCTGAGTGGCGCATTGGTTAAGAGCTGGCTTGGGACGCCAGAGGGCCCCGGTTCGGATCCCACATATGAGGGCCAGTGACACTGCCCTCCACAGCTAAGATGCTGAACAACAGCTCAACTTGGAGCTGGGCTGCTCTGAGTCCCCGGCGACGGCGTAGGCTGCAGCCCCTGCTGCGGTGGGTTGCCATGGGCTACCGTGTGTAGCCAGCAGCCAGTGTGAGCGGCCAGCAGCCGCAGTGAGCGGTCATCCAGAAGCCGGCGACCTATCTGCCTTGCACGGGAAAAGCGCAATGATGGTGTCAACTTGGGCCAGTGAAGCAACGTCCTCCACAACTAGACTGAAGAACGAAACTACAGCAACTTGTCTGTTCCCCTTCCCCCAATTCCCCAATAAAAGAAAACAAAACAAACAAACAAAAAAATAGTTTCTCTATGAATAGGCAAATAACCAGGCTTGGACATGCAGATATCAGGATTCATTTCTTCAGTTTATTCTCCATATATTTGTCAAATGTCTTCTATGTGTTAGGTACTGTTGTAGGTACTTCGGTGAATTAAACAAGGATGTCTATCTCCTAGGGCTTAAATTTTACTGGAGCTTTTTTATTACACGTTTTTGCCTCTAGCTTGCTCCATAGCTTTCTCCTTTTCTCTATTTGTAAAGTATGACTTAAGGGAATTAATAGATTAATTTTTTGTGGCTTGTAAAATAATCTAATTACAGTTCCCAAAGTTGGCTATGGTGTATTCTTTTTAAGGTTATCTACTAAATACCAAAATGATGATGTTTTGTAGATCATCGGGTTCCCTAGGTGTGTGTACTCTACAAATCAGGACAAGTCATTTAATTTGATGATGCTGGAATCAGACCTGTGAGAATTGGGCTGTTTCAAGGGAGAAGAAAAGCTCTGTGGATTTGTTGGGACAATGGACTATAGTTTGGGTTGCAGTAGTCCACTCTGGCTGTACTTTTTTTCTCATTTAAATTACAGTGTATATTCAATTCCATCAACATCTGTACATATCAACTACTTATAGTGCATATCAACTGTTTATAAGTGTTTGTTTGGGGTGGTTTTGGACTTACTATCTTTGTTTTCTATGAGTCTAATAATTGTAGAATTTATAACATACTTTTCCTTGTAAGGCATTTGTGGTCCTTCACACACACTATTTTATTTACCCAAAATTTATCCTGTGGAGTAGAATGAATGGACATTTCTAGTCTAAAATAATAAAAAGTTGAGGTTCCTGATAAGGATTAAATGTACTGAGCCAGAAATTTGGTAACTTAACTTGACAGTTATAATTTGAAGTTTAGTGTACTTTCCAGTGAATACTGGTACCATTCAGACTATGATTTTTTAAAAAAAATATTAACCTTAATACAAGGATCATTACTCACCAGATAGCTATTGCATGGGTGTACTATGTACAAGGAACTCTGTAACAAGTTGTACTTGATAGTTCCTGTGTTAAAGGAACCTACAGTCTTATTCACACCTTTAAAATTATTCTTAAAGAAGTATAGTGAATAGTTTTTCTTAAGCTCAGTAAATTAAGTTCTTTGGGATGATAAAGAAAATCTCAGGTAGGACTGAGGCTAAAACCTAAATATGTTGAAAATTAACAAAATATTCCCTGCCTTTTGCAGCATTTTTTTTTCCATTATAGGATGTTTGTATACATCTTTGTTTTTCTGCCCTGCACACTGAGAGTCTTAATGCTTTATATGTGTCAAGAATGAATTAAACATAGCTTGTAAAGGAAATAATTCTTTCACATATTTTTCTATAGTTTTATATAACCCCAAGGGAAGGCTTTCTTGTGCCTTTGGTATCTGTAGAGACAATTACAGAGAAATCATATAGATAAATTTCAGGGAAATCTTAAGATTCATGTTCATTTTTATACTTATATGAGAAATTTAAAGTCAGTTATAATACTATATGACATTGGAAAATAGATATCCAGTTATATAATGATAGATCAAGCTGCAAAAAGCACATCCGGGTAGGTAGTACCAATGTGTACTTGTACGTATGTACATAATGGTTGATGCACTAGTTGTAAGGAAAGTTTTTGGAAATTACCTCCTTTGTTTGGAGTGTTGCACTAGTAATCCCACTGTTGAGTAATATAGGTCACATTTTTAAACACCCTTGTTATGGCATGCAATGTCTTTTCTATCTGACACCTGTCACGTTTCTACCTTCCCGCATTACTGTTTGCCTCCACTCTTAGCTCAAGCTCTTCTTACCTGTTTAATGCTCTCTGTGTATACCAGTGAGCCTCACAGGCAGGCTTTGGATATCTTTTCTTTCTGTGATACATACCTGGCCTATACCTATGCTGTGTGGTTCTTAAGAGAATGTTTCTCTTCAACAATAGAAGGAACTCAGTGAGGACAAACTTTTTTTTTTTTTTAATATTAATGTTTCCAGTACCTACCTTTACGTCTCTTTTGTAGAGGGGTGAATTTAAATATCTGAAATGGGCTAAGATGAGAGATTTGAACTATAAGAAAGGCTGGTTACATTTACATGGTTTTTTCTTCATGCTCCGTAACCATGGCTTTGGCTCTCACTTGTTACCCTATAGTGTTTGTCTCTTTGAAGTTAGGAAGAAGATGAATATATAGTGTAGAAATTAACACTAGAGGAAAAAAATACTATTTAATTGTGTTTCTTAATTATGCTGAGAAAATATTTTATTTCACAAAATTACCTGTTCCTCCAAAGGATATAATCTACTAAAAATCACAATTGGGTATTTATAGGGAAATGAAAACAGTTCTTTCCATTAAGTAAAACAATTCTGTCCTGTCCCAAGTCCCAAAAAAGAGTGGCATTTTTCTCTCTACAAAAACTTCAGTGAATATACCGAAGGGAATAGTCTATAACTATACTGTTCTTTAAATTTTCTGAATTCTAACAAATACTAAAGGTAAATTAGAGCTTTGCATTATCTAGTCTCAGTTTAAGAGGTTACGTTTTGGCATCTTACGTAAATTAATCATGGAATCTTTAGAGGACATAAACTGTATAAATGAAGCAGTAAAGCAGTTCTTTTAGCCAGTTCTTCATATTTTGGTTAGACATCAGTTAGAGTTCTATTTCCCTTTACTAATTTACCAGTAATTCTGCAGCTTCAGCATGATGACTATTGAATTATAGGAGTAGTAGCATCATCACACAGGCTTATATTTGCAAGAGAAAATTAATTATCTGAAAATTGGAGGCTTAGCCTGAGGTTTTAAAAATATTTTCACTTTAGTTTTTTGAAAAAACATGCATATTTATGTAGCTTCTTAATGCATGTTATTTCCAACCAAGTAAATCTAGTTTCATAACAGAGATTATTTAAGAGATTTGGCTTATTTTTCCTTTTGTTGGTAAATGTGCCAAGCGTCTGCTTTCTATAAGACATGTGTCTGTTTCAACTTACTATTTTGATTATGAGTAGTTTATTATCCAGATAGACCTTCAAAAATAGAATATTTGCTAAAGAGTTCTTATGTATATGGTTGAGTGCATATTTTAGAATGCTTTGGGATTTATAAATAGCATGTAAGATAATATTGGGAACATGTTAAGTCTAACGTATAATGCTTGAAAAAAGGAAAGGAAGAAAGATGATAATATTCTAAGCATCTCCAATAAGGAAGTGAGTGGGTGGAACATTTTCAAAAGCTGATTTGGCCTCCCTGAGAACAGTGCGAACATCTTTGTATTTCACGGACGGAGGTTCCAGCGTTTATACTACCCACTAAAGTTTGTCCAAGGCTCCCAAGTTTTATTACTTTACAAACAATGTCTTGAGATTCCGCCTTCCACACTTTGACTTATACCTTTTCACATTAGGGGCGTGAACTTCCTGGGGGGCAGTTCTTTTATGTTTGAAATTGCTCAGAGTTTCCATCTGCTTTTACTTGACTTGTGGTCTTGAAGATCACGCTGGCCCATGGGGTACTGCAGTGTGCCGAGAGGATGTGGAGTTTTGTCAGCCAGTGAAATATGTCTGGTTTTTTTTTTTCTTTTTTCTTTTTTTTTCAGCAGCTTTCATACACTCCTCATCCTGTGTGGTCTTCACTAAACTGAATTTATATTTCACAGAACTACTCAGCCTCTTTATCATCTTCTATGACTTGGCCTTTTTTAAGGAGAGGTGTGTGGAAGGAATATCTGAGCCAAAAAACTGTAGTCTTGGCAACAGGAAAACCTATACCTGAAAGCTTAAAGCCGAGTTATATATGAGTGTGCTTCAGTGTTCACACATGCGTATTTTCTTCTGCAGAAGAGTATCGTATTTCAGATACACACAACTGTCAGAAAAATTATCATGTCAACAGGAGACTTCAAGTTTTGTCTGTGATCCAAATGACATTTTTTTTTTTGCTTGTTTTTAGGCACTACTACAGTCTTCAGTTAAGCAGCAAGTAGAAGCTATTGAAAAACAGTACATTTCTGCAATTGAGAAACAAGCACACAAGTGTGAGGAGTTGTTAAATACTCAGGTAATAAAATTGTACATCCATTATATATTTATACTTGTCTTCTGACTCTCCTCCCCTGAGAGCTTTATAACTGTTTATTCAGTTTCGTACCATTTACTTTCCTTGGTGTATTTTGGAGGAAAAAAATATGCTTATGTAAACTCCATGTTAAAGTTTGGGAATTTCATGGTAGACTAAAAATAGAGCAAAAGGGCTAAGTAAGGTATGTAGGACTCCCTCAAATTAATGATTCTTATTTTAACTTCTTGGTTCTAATATTATTTATCAACAGAAGCAAATAGATGACTATAAATGTGTTATGGCACATGTAATGATTTCAGTGGTATAAGATTTATAAATATTTGAATTTTTAGAAGTATGCTTGAGTTACCTTTCATTATATATAGGCATTAGTTCCTACTTGAATTTTTTGTTGATTTTCTTTTCTTGATTTAATGTGTTAGAAGGCATTAAAGACACAATTAGTTGATTTACCTTAAACAATCAGTTGAGCATTTTTGGATGTGTCATAGTACAAATAATACATGAAATAAATTCTCAACACCTTGGAATAACAAAACTTGGTAGGTGACAATAAAGTCAACTTTATTTAAAAGACCTACTTTATATCATGAGAAGAAAATATACTAAGAATTAGGAAAACAGAATTAGATATAGGATTGAAATGGTGACATATAAATATGCTAACACATCCCCAAGACTGGGGTCAGTTTTGTTAGATATTTTTCAATGTCATTTTAACAAAGGGCTTGGAAGAGGTAATGCACAAAGAATTTTATATATTTGATATAACATACTCTTTTGGGTGGTGAAATACCAGGTTGTCAGAGGTATAAAGTTATATGACTTCGTAATATAACAGAAAAATCACAGAGAAGAATTAAGGTCATGAACGGAGAGACAGCATAAGGCATGTATTAGCCAGGACAGGCTAGGTTATGCCCTAAACTCTTTGGCTTAGACAGCAACAATTTATATCTTACTCATGCTACATGTACATTGAGGATTATCTTGGGGCTCGGCCTCATGTTATCCTCACCCCAGGAAATAGCCTGATAGTGTAGTTTTTACATGAAACATTACCTGTTATCTTTGCAGAGTGACTACAAGTCCAGTCAGATTTCCTACCAGTAAGTCAATATTCTGGACTGGAAATGACACTTCTCTTCCCATTTTTGTATGCACAGTGCCTCCCTCTTCCCCCAGTCATAATGGGGCCAGCCAGCTAGTGAGATCTTACCATGAACCTGAAAGGGAGGGAGCAGGAAATATTTGATAAACAGCACTCATATAGCACAGTCTACTCTTTTGGTCACCAAATATTCATAGTCTCCATTTCACAGGCATATTTGCTTATCCTTTCCCCGTGGGTGAAAATCTGCACGTTCTAACCAGCTAATGCCTCAAGCTCAAAAGTCCAGGATCTCTGATTAATAGGTGGGAAATGATGCGCTGCAGTTTCTACATTATCAGGTCCAGACATATAGCTCTTTTTGACCCAAAGAACTAGAAACTAAAATATGTGTTGTTTACCCCCAGCAAATCTATTATACAGTTGTGAGACAAAGGTAGGGTGTTGACTGGAATCTCTCTCAGTAGGAAATAGTAAGACTGAGAGTCACAGCTGGCGTTAATAGGTAACAATTCTAAAATTTCAATGGACAGATTAAATAAGAATCTCTGCCGTGGGGGTAGGATTGCTCTTGGATGTACCATGATTCTGTTGTCAGGTTTTAGGGACAAGGTCTCCAGTCTGTTGTTTATGACTGTGTAGATTTTAAATTTTTCAGTAATGTTGTTGCCTATGTCTAATGTAGTATTGGAGCTTATACCATTTTTCAGCTTGCTTCCTGTCTTGAAAATTGGGAGCCATTCATTTTAGGTAGCAGATAGTCACAGTTCAGGGTAATGGTTCTTTAGCTTCGTGTGTGTTTGATTATGGTCAGCTTCATTTATCAAAGACAAGCCAAACCCAGAGTTATTTTAGAAACTTACTTCCTAGATTTAATATGTTTATATGCTTTCCACCCTCATGCTTGTCTGTCTGTCTGCCTCTCGTTCTGATTAAAAATAACTTCATTTATCAAATCTGGGTTGAGGAAATCCCAGTGGTCTCTTTTCTCCAAGCCATTTGGTCCAAATGAAAGTATATGCAGGATAGTCCCAGCCTTGTTGTGTCTTTGCTGGGAGACACCTTAATCAATTGAATCTTTACCAGGGAGCGTGACTAACATATATTTGTTTTTAATACTTGCTGCAAGGCGGAATTTAGTTGGTCTTTGCTGCTCAGAAGCCATCTCAACTATTTCTTTTTTAAATCGAGGTTGGGAAGGTTTTTGCAAATCCCCAAATTTCTGAACTTTTTCTATTACCTGTAATTCAGTGCTTATGAATTACTTTTTCTTGTGAATTCCGTGCTAAACTTGTCCTTTTCTTGTAATGCCTCATCAAAAATAGCCAACAGCAGAGCTAATAAATAATTTCAGTGAAATTGTAGGTTAAAAGATTAACATGCAAAAATCAGTTGTGTTTCCATATACCAGCTAAGAAAAATGGAAAAGGAAATTTAAAGAGCAATTCAATTTACAATAGCATCTTAAAGAATAAAATATCTAGGAATAAATTTAACCAAGGAGGTGAAAGACTTGTACTCTTGAAAACTACTAAACATTGCTGAAAAAAATGAAAGATAACCTAAATAAATAGACACACCATGTTCATCAGTTGGAAATATTTGATGAAGAGCATTTAGAACTACCACAGGACATTTATAGGATCACAGGCCATTTAGTATGATGAAATGCTGTGTAAAAATCAAACCCTGAAAGGGGATATCATTAGTAGATAAAACCCTGCGAAGTGTAGAAATGGTGATCCCACACTTTTCAAATCATGTTTCTTGCGATGCCATTTGAAATAAATTTAATTAAACAAAATTAATAGCTGGGTGGTTCCTTAGGAATCATTTAGTTCGATGTGTGTGTGTGTGTGTGTGTGTGTGTGTGTGTGTGTGTGTGTCTTTGCCTCTCTTTTTTTCAATTTAAAATTTAAGGAAGAGCAAGTTAAAACTAACACAGAGCAGTTACAAACACGTTCTCTGGAGTCAGACTGTCTGAAATAATCCCTGGCGTTGTCACTTAACTATGTGACTATAGAATGTCTCTTAACCTCTCTGTACCTTATTTTTCTCATCTATTAAATATGTACCCAACTGATTCCTACCTCATAGGATTGTTATGCATGTTCTAGGACATCATATTTGCTTAAATAAGGTTTCCTTTTTGAAGGAATGCTTATATTTTTAATCTACCTATGATTTCTGTTAGCATTTGGCAGTTTTATTTTTTCAAAAACATATAATTTTTTTATAAAATTTGGAGAATTCCTTCACTGATTTTGAAACTTCCTGTATTATATATTTTAATTTCAATTTTCTGTTATTAAATAGAACAAACAAAAAATAATATAGTAGACACAGTATCAAGATTTAACAAATGGTTTTGTAGGGGAAACACTTTGTTTCTCCTACTCCCCTCCTGCATTCTCTGGCTGGGACGCTGTAAATTAGCTGACAAAAGGCAGATTAGGAAGAGAAAACCATACCAATTTATCTGATATAATTTTACATGACATGGCAGCCTTCATAAGGAAACAAAGACCCAGAGAAACAGTTAAATGTGAGTATTTTTATAGTAAGATTGATGAAGAGTGGGAGGTAATGGAAAAACGTGGTAGGACAAAAGGGTGAGAGCTAAGGGTAGTAAACTAGGGGAAACTTAGCAGTACCTGTTCATTTGAATTTCTCTTGGCTTCTCTCTCTTTAGAGGTAAGGATGCTCTGTTCCTCTGGGTGTACACAGAGGGTGAGCACTTCTGACAAGAGGGTCGTAAGGTGGGAAGGAGCTACTCAGAGAGTCCTTCCTGCACCTGCCTTTTCTCAAAGTCCTTTATTTTAAAATATTCCCTATGTCAAAGTGCCATATTTTGGGGTAACATGTTCTGAACCCTTTCAGTTTCATTATAACATATTTGCTTCAGGTCTCTTAAATTTGGGGGGGAAAGTTACAAAGAAAGCCTCGACTTCTCTGTCATATTTCCCTCCCCCTCCTTCCTTATAGGACCAACATTATACAGACTTCGCCATGTTTTCACTCTTACCTTCGTGCATCCATAATTGTTTAGTATTTAGTTCTAGTTTGTTCTTAAATTCCCCCAAATGTTGTTGTAATTTACCTTTCTTATTGTGATGTACTCTCATATTTACAAGGTGGTGTTCCTTTTCACTTCTAGCCTTCTTCCCTTCCTCACTTGTTCCGTTTACTTCCTATATTATAGTCTCTACTAATTGAAAAGTATAAACTTTATTAATATTTGTTTTTTTTCTGAAAGCGTTTACCATAATTTATTAATATAAATATTATGTAAAATTCTACAACAGTTATTTTCCCTGAAGATATTATTCCATTGCTATTAAATCTCTATTAAATAGTCAAAATAGTTATTTTGACTATTGGCATTTTATACTTAATTTATCTTTTCTCTTTGGTTGTTTCTAGTAATGTCTCCTTATCTTTGATATTCTATAATATTACTCTGATGAACTTAGAATTTGTTTTTCAATTGCTTTTTTTATACTTTCTGTGCAGACGTGGTAGTGGGAGCTAACTACCCACCGAAATTTGTCCTTCCCCTTACTTAGTTTAGAGTTGTCACTGGCTAGCTGCTATCCCCTCAGGGAATCTTTTCCTTTGCTTTTATGGAGTTGATGAAATTTATAAAGCCTGTTTTTGCCTATGTCCTTCCTGTCAATAAAACAATTGATATGCAATAATCCCTTTCAAATTTAACAGTTTAGTTTATATTATGATTTTCCTGGACAGTAAACAAAGTTTGAGTAGCTTAGCCTTCACCAGTGATTTGTGAGTGAAAGTAACATGTGTCACTACCTGGCCAGGAAGGTTAAGAAGTTAAACTGCCATCTCTTTCCTCTTTTCCTTGTGA